AGTTCAGGGAGATCACATAATTTGCCTGCAATTTATGAGTCTCAACGTTCATGTGCTCCTATATGTGGAAGTATGCTCCTTTAAATATGTGTTCTTCACTTTTATTCTTTTTTCTCCATCATAGTATTTCATGTTCTAATTTCAAAATAAGACATATTTTAAAGAGCCAAACTACACATAATGGGATATCTAAATACAGAAGTGCAGAAGATTGTTGTCAATTATCTCACACTCCTCATTCATCAAAACTGTAAAATGAGTGAAATCATTTGCAAATAAGAGCATTGACAGATCTCTAAGGTAAGGGAAGAGAACATAGCAGATGATTAAGGACAAATATGGTGCAGTGTAATTCAGGTAAATATAAGGACACGTAAAATTATATCACACATATTTACTGATAGATGAGTATGTATTTTAAAATATGTGTATGTGGATGAATCAAAGTCTTTGTTAAACAGATGACTCTAGTAATTTGACATGGTTGAACTTTATTGTCTATATGCAGATAAATATGGATTAAATTATAATTGTGAATGATTAAATTCAAATTCTGGCAGATTTTTATTGTTGGGCAACAAGCATTTCCCTACTAGGTTGAAATAATGATTTACACTTTTCCCAACGTTATTTACGCTACATTAAACATGCTATGCAGAAAATCTGAGAAATTATGAGCTTTTATAACAGACATTACACAAAGGAACTTCAAAAATTGTATAGGAGAAATATTATAAAAAATGAATTAAAACAGTCTAGCAAAATAAGTATTTTCTTAAGGTTTTGAAATATTTACTTTTTTATTTGAAAGTAAGAGTTTCCTCATAATATCTTATTTTTTCAGAATTAAAATCATCCTTTCCCTTTTCTATGTGTTGACAAGTCCATTTGCTAAGTAATCAAGCAAGCAAAACTACAAGATTATTTTCTTACTCATTTTCTAAAACCAAAGGGAAATGAGTGAGTTAGATTAATCATAGAGCTTCTGTATTCAGTAGTCACTTCAGATATTAAAAATGAGTGCATCTTTTGAAAGATTTATATATTTATACTGCAAAGTCAGAAATAGAGACGAGGTGAGACAGCAAGGAAGATCTTCTGAAAACTGATTCACTCTTTAAGTGGCCACAATGGCCAGAGCTGCACCAGTCTGAAGCCAGGAACCCAAAGCCTGTTCTTGGTCTCTCATGCAGGTGCAGGGTCCCAAGGCTTTGGGGCGTCCTGGACTGCTTTTCCAGGCCAAATTCAGGGAGCTGGATGGGGAAGCAGGGATGCTGGGATTGGAACTGGTTCCCATATGGGATCCCAGCGTGTGCAAGGTGAGGACTTTAGCCAGTAGGCTACTGCACTGGGCCCATGAGTGCAGCTTTGAAAGGAAGAAGAAAAACCTCCTCTTTTGCATTTGATATGATTAGTTACGTAGAAAATCCTAAGGTGTCTACTAAAAACTAGAAAAAGTAATCAGTAAATTTAGTGAGGTCAAAGGAGAACCTACACAATATAATTAATTTTAAAATTAGAAATGATTGATGAATTGATTAAAAAAAAGGGTAATCTTAGTGAAAAATCAGAATGGTGGCACATAAAGCAACATGAATGAATTTTAAATTCATTATCACGTAAAATTATTTACTATATTCCATTTCTATAAAATCTGTAAACAAAAATCTATAGTGAGATTAGGGGATTAGGCCCCCTAATTAGATAAGGAAAATTGAGTTTAATATTGTAAAACACATCTTTAAAGAATCTATTTGTAAACAGTGAAGCAAATGTGATGGTAGAGACTTTGTGAAGAACAGTGGTTGCCAGGCTCCAACAAGTTAATAGCCTGTCTGGTACTTAACCAGAGGCAGCCATCATGATGCATCTGAACCCTGGTCAGAAATTAAAATTGGAAAATATGTCCTACAATACCCGGTGCAATTCTACTTGAGAAATAATATCTGAGCTACTCTGGCATTTTTAGGGAACAGAGGAGAAACAAGGGCGTGGCACATGGGGAAAGCATGGTTGAGTAATGAATGTGTGTTGTCTTTAAGAAGTTTTCATCAAAATGTGTGTAGAATGTGGTGTTGGAAATATGTTCATGTTTGTGGTATGTGTTGAACGGGTGTTGAGAAGTTGAATAATAAGTAGAAGACAGTGGCCTGATACAGGGTCGTTAATAAGTCAGGCAAAGGAGCCGGCTCTTATTTTTGTTGACCAAACAAAGGCAGATGGTGTTTGAGGCTACATCTTCCTCCTAGCTTGGCTGTTTCAGCTCCAGCTATTGCAATCAAATGAGCAAATATTATACTGAGGAATAAACATAGAAAGTGCCGATGTGTAGGAGACCACTTTTGAACTCTGTCTTAATCCTGCGAAGGTGGTATACAATAAAAATCAATGCAGAAGGAGGCCATAGTGTTAGGATTCAGAAATATGCAGAAGTGCAGCAATCTGGACCGCTGAGCTAAGAGAGCTGAGAGCTAAGACACAGTTGTTATAAGACTGCGACAGAGCAGATCTGGGTGACCTCAGGCAAGTCCTTTCCGTACCTTACTTTTCTTATCTGTGAGACTGGGAAAATAATATAGGCCCTTTATCTGTTGTCTGAAATTCTGAAACGACCTCTTTGAAGCCCCAAAATTGTTCTGTTTCCTGAGTTTGTGAAACCCAGCCCAAACTCTGAGGCTCGAAAGTGCTTCCCAGTGAGTTTGCACCTATGTGATTTCTGCAGAAATATTCCTGCGTGATCCTGGATAAATTCCTTCATTCCTGCCGCAGGTATACAGAATACACACTACATGAACAAGCCTCCTGTTGTGAAAACCACGCCATCCTGGGTTCTGAAACTTTTGGTCCCACAAGTCTCATATTAGAGGCAGTATGCCTGTGATGACTTCCTCGAACGGTTGTAAGGGATTATGTTTTTAATAACAGATCTCTGTAAAGGATGCAGTCATGAGATGCTTCAAAAAGTCCATCTAAAACGGAGTAGAGAAAAAATTATTTTTTCTCAATTACTTTTGGTCCAAAAATTGTTGAAGTCCATGCAGTTTTCTTTCATAATACACATATTTATGAACTTTGGACAGTTCCTTATATGCATGCATTTCAATTATTTTTGTGCCTAATGAATATATTCTTTTTTCATGGACCTTTTTAAGTATCCTGGCATTATTATGTTTAAATCCAGATATTATATACCTTATTCCCATTCCTGAGACTGAGTATGAATTATTTTTTGACACTATGCAAACTTTTTCTTGGTACTTGTATATCTATTCTGTCATGCTTGATTTGTAGTGATTTAATTATTCAGCTGGAATGTTTCTGTGATGGACCTGTCCCTCTATGAACACCTATCCATCATTTTTGCAATCTTTACATTTTTGGAAGAATGCCTTTTCTGCCTACAGGTGTAAGCTGACGGACTTATTTTTCAGACATCTTTTCTAAGGTCCCTCTTAAGAAACTCATGGTGACATTATGTGTCATTCATCTGCTAACAGAAGCCCGAAATACAGTAGTCAATACAAACGACATCTTGATATGTCCTCATATGATACCCCCTCAGATCAAGTCATTGGTTAAAAGTATAGCAGCAAAAATATCCATTTAGATTTCATTCAGGGTTTTCCCAAGTAGAATTTTATTTTTGTGGTTTATTTTTGGCATGTTTGCTATTACTTCCAGCTATCTAAAACCCTTGTTTAATCCTTGGCCTGTGGGCATGGAGAATGGATTTTGCAATCCTCTCCTTGCGTTGGGAAATTTTAACTAAAGATTTCTTATATTGAAATAGGAGGAAAAGGAATATAATTTAAGTAAATATTTTATTTCTAAAGGAAGAAGTAAAATAGTCATTTTAAGTATGATTTGGGATGAAATATTTGCCTTTAGTCAGAGTTGGGGTGAGGCCTATCAATAGTGGGTCTCTGGCTCCCATGCTTTTGTGTCTCTCCTCTGGGAAGATGTTGCCAAGTCATGATTGCAACCTCTGTGTGTGTGTGTGTGTGTGTGTGTGTTTAGACTTTGTGTTCATAAGTGTTACTAGGTGCCCCACTCTTGGCCAGCAATTTCAGTGAATGCTGAGAGAAGAGGAATGCCGGGATGGGACCCTGACTCAGAGAACAGGGGTGATAAAGTCTGAGAGAGGAAGGAGACTTGTCCTGTGCAGGTAGGAAAAAGCAACACCACAAGATAGGACTTATTTTTTCTGCTTTGGATTAGGGTTCATGCTTTCTCCACTATGCTTTTCCTAACTCTACATCAGCCAACCACTGCTGAACTTCCTCGCCTGAAGAAGGAATCCTGGGAAGGAAATATTTTGCTCAGTCAGTAAAAAGATCTGTGTCTGGATCTTTTGGTGTTGCGGCTAGTTATATTATACCAGGCCTGTCATTTGGAAACCGTAGGATTGGATGGTTCTTTCCAACTCTTAAAATGTCTTGCAGTATGACAGTGTCAGTTGAGTAGCCTAGGGGAGCACTTGCTTTGTAATTTTCCAGCTGGCCAGCCACAGGTCAAAACTCAAATATTAAGATCTTTTTTTTTTAAATCACTTTACTGTTGACCAGATGAAGATGAATGAAACCTAATTTTTGTAAGTTTCTCTGGAATATTATGAGGGCGGGATAACTAGAACCTGCTAAGCTGACATCTGTTACTTAATATTTGCTGTCAGTGCATGAAAATATTTTTCTCCATTTAATTTCTGGTAATGTCTGAAGCTTCTCATAATATTGTTTGAAGCCATACTTTCATCCTACAGGGAAGGTAACAGGCAATAGTGATATAAATATACTCTGATAAATGTTTCAAACAAACATCAACTTAAAATTGCACAAAATTATTCATTGGTTAATACATATAAACTTTCATAAAAGATTGCCAGAGATGAGAATACCCAATGGTATAGTTGTGAAGGCTATAAATGTGAATATGATTTTGTGTATAATATCATCTCCTGTTGGTTCTCTCCTTTTCTCTACTCCCACCCAATTTCTAAGCAGTATTCCACGGAACTGAAGAAACTATACTGCCAAATTGCAAAGACTTGCCCCATTCAGATCAAGGTGATGACCCCACCTCCTCAGGGAGCTGTCATCCGTGCCATGCCTGTCTACAAAAAAGCTGAACATGTCACTGAAGTGGTCAAACGGTGCCCAAACCATGAGCTTAGCCGTGAATTCAACGAAGGTAAGAAGTGAAATCTATAGCTAAAGGCCCTGTGGGCATCACTGTTTGGACTCCTACTTGTCTAATTGAGTTATGCAATCTGAGGGAAACTCAGATTTGCCTGTTTCATTAACGGAGTGTCTAATGATGATTATAAATAACTGTGGCTTACACAGTGACTGAACTGTTCCTTTACTGTTGATATCTAGTGTATAATCTGAGTTAGGGTTAGACATCAGTTTACTTCCAGTTCTTCCTTCCTCCCATCCTTCCCCCTCTCTTTTCTTCCTTTCTTTCTCTTTTCTTTAAATAAAAGGGTATAAAGACAGGAATGTGAGAGCTGATCTGTTTGCCTCAGGCTACACAATCTTTCATCTTTCATCTTTCTCAGAATGATCTGCCCAGGGATAGCCTAGTAGAGAAATACAGGGCTAAGCAGAAACAACCAGAGCTGAGTCAATCCAAAACCAGGATCCACGAGCTTCTTCAAGGACTTCATGCAGGTCAGGGTCCCAAGGCTTTGGGCCATTCTCTACTGCTTTCCCAGGCCACAAGCAGGGAGCTGGATGAGAAGTAGAGCAGCCAGGACAAGTTCCCAACTGGAATCCGCTCCTTAAAAAAAAAAAATACATATGCATTTCCTTTATTACACAGGTCATTTCTTGACTGTCAGCATCATGTCCTTGCAATTTCATCCTGAGAAAAGAAGTAATGATATTTCTTTTCTGTTCTGCAGGCCAGATTGCCCCTCCTAGTCATTTGATTCGAGTAGAAGGGAACAGTCATGCTCAATATGTAGAAGACCCCATCACAGGAAGACAGAGTGTGCTGGTACCTTATGAGCCACCACAGGTATAATAATAGTAACAATAATACATGTATAACTATAAGTATATGTGTATATATATGTGTGAGTGTGTGTTTGTGTGTGTGTAAATAAAACATGCATGAGAAAGTGCTGATAGCAGTTACTGGAAAGTTATTTATTTTTATTACAAAGTCAAATATACAGAGAGGAGGAGAGACAGAGAGCAAGATCTTCCATCCTATGATTCACTCCCCAAGTGAGCGCAATGGCCGGTGCTATGCCAATCCATAGCCAGGAGCCAGGAACTTCCTCCAGGTATCCCACAAGGGTGCAGGGTCCCAAAGCATTGGGCCGACCTTGACTGCTTTCCCAGGCCACAAGCAGGGAGCTGGATGGGAAGTGGAGCTGCTGGGATTAGAACCAGCACCAATATGGAATCCTGGCATGTTCAAAGTGAGGACTTCAGCTGCTAGACCACACTGCCAGGCCCAGTATCTATTGATATCTTAATTCTTGTGATCAAATGTGTGACCTTTCAATTTTCTTCAATCCTTCTTTTCCACATTCTCTACTTTCCAAACTCATAAAGAGGGATGAAACAGACTCATTAACATGATTCTGTACTCATATTCCCATCTGAAAGGCAAATCATAATTCAACTAGCAATTGGGTTTATATATAACTGTTTTGTCCAACCAGAAATTGAACTGGTAGTGATTATACATGAATAATGGGTGTAAATATTTTACTCTGGAAATTGAAGAGCCTCAATGCAATATCTTAGCTGAAGTTTGAATGCATAGGTAGCACACGTGTAAGTGCTGTTGAAGGTAGACTGGGAAGGCGGATGGTACATAACAGTAACGACCACAGCAGTTCTTTGTTTTGCAGCTCTCTCGAACCTCTGATGTGTAACCTGCTCTCTAGACTTCAGTTGCCTTGATTTTAGCTGAGGATTGCACAAACAATTACATTTTCAGGAATGTTTGAGCTCTTTGGTGTTGTTCATGGAGTTGTACATTCAACTATTTGTCATTCCATTTTATCTACTCTCAGAAGTACATTTGGAACATTATTGCTAATTTTGATGATTTTTAACCCTTGCTTTTCTATTATATTAGCACATGTAGTATAGCTCATTTGAATTATTGTAAAGATTAACTTGCCTCATTTAATGTACCTCTAAATGTATCCGCTATTACAAGCATCAGGTTTTAAGTTTTTCAGAAGGTGAGGTCAAGAGAGATGGACAGTAGGCTATGAAGTTTACATTAATAGAAGGAAGTATCTCACTTCATCAGAAGTGGAATTTGTAAATAAAAGCGGGACCTTTTTGTAACTAAAGGTTCTTTTCCCTCTTTACTCAGGTGGGCACTGAATTCACGACAGTCCTGTACAATTTCATGTGTAACAGCAGTTGTGTTGGAGGGATGAACCGCCGACCAATTTTAATCATTGTTACTCTAGAAACCAGAGAGTAAGTGACATATGTAGAGCTGTGCATTCTAATACAATTTCATGGGCTAAGGGCAAAGTGAAATTGTGTCTGCTTTATTGTGGACTTTGCAAGTGCATCAGAGAGCTGCTGGTGATTTTTGTCCTTTGTGCTTTAAATCCATGCTGCAAATGCTTACATAAAAGATCTAAGGAAGTGGAGTCAGAAAGGGGTGGGTAAAGGTAGAGGAGGCAGAAAGAGCTGAGGAGGTGTGCAATTCACTTCATACCTGAATTCTTGACATTCAGCTGGAATTGTTTCTGATTAGACAGTGTTTGTTTTCATGTGGCCCTCAAAGCATTTAGCAGTTTCTTTGAGTAAGTCTGGGCTGCCTTAGGGGATTTTATCACAAGACACCCACTGGCTTAACTCAAGTTTCCTTCAAAATATGTAGCTAAATACAGCTGTTCAGCTAATGGCTTGGAGGTTCTTTGCAGAACAAATGGAATGTTATTTTCTAATGTTGCTTGTGGCATATAAGCACTTTTGTGTTCTGCCAAGTAATTTTGATGCATCCTCCAAGAATGCATGGATGAGCTGGTGGGAATGGCCAAGAGTAGAAATAGACAGGGGAAAAGTCCAAATGACCTTTCAAATTCCTTCAACTTAACTCTGTATCCTCTCTTCTCTTATTCCCAAGTGGGCAAGTCCTGGGCAGGCGTTGCTTTGAGGCCCGCATCTGTGCTTGTCCAGGAAGAGACCGGAAGGCAGATGAAGACAGCATCCGAAAGCAGCAGGTTTCGGACAGCGCAAAGAATGGTGACGGTACGAAGCGCCGTAAGTAGATGTAGTGGATGAAAGAGGTTGGAGTGAGTTCTCCACAAACATTGCGGGAAAATAAAGAAAATTTATGAGAAGATCCATGAGTTTTAGTGGCAAGATGACTGCCCATGTTTCATGGGAATAGTTGTGGCATTGACGGAGGACAGCAGCTGTGCACTGTGAACTCCAAAAAGCAGTCACAGTTAGGATTTCTTGGTGTGGTGTTCCCATAATGTGACTTCCACACCAACAGCATTAACACTGTCTGGAAACTGGGTGAAAACAGAAATTCTGAAGTCCCAGATATGCTCTGTCAGAAACTGGAATAGAGATGGAGCAATCTGTATGTAGAAAGGTCTTCTGGTCATTCTACCAGTTAAAGGTTGAGAATCAGTATCTTACTGGTTGGTATCAATACATCTTTGTGGCTGAACATGAGGCTTGAAAATAGCATCTGCCTGTCTCATGACTGGAAACAGCGAGACTTGGAATCTCTGTCCTAAAGCTGGTTCTGGAGAATATGCAGATCAAAATTATGTGTGTTTCACTTTATGACTATCTCAAGGTCTCTCTTACTTAGTTGCTTTCCAAATTTCACCTTTTAATCAAAGAGGGTTTTTGTTTTTTTGTTGTTTTGTTTTAAGTGAAGTATTTCAAAGAGTATACAGTGCAAAATAAATGGAAGCAGGGTTACTGCAGCTGGGAGTTGGAGGTGGCTTTTGGCTCTATGTTCTAACATCAAACACAATTTGCTGATGACATGTACCACCACAGAGCCTACAATTCCAGGTCATGATGTATGAAAACCATATATTTACAGATGTTCTAACATGCTTGCAATTTTCTCCCAACAAATATATTGCATAAGCCTGACTTTTTTACAATTTTTTAAGATTTATTTATTTTTGTTGGAAAAGCAGATTTACAGAGAGGAGAGTAAGAGACAGCTTCCATCCATTGGTTCAGTCCCTAAAGGGCTGTAATGGCTGGAGCTGAGCCAATTTGAAGCCTGAAATCATGAGGTGTCCCAAGGCATTGGGCCATCCTCAACTACTTTCCCAGGCCACAAGCAGGGAGCTGGGTGAGAGGGAAGCAGCCAGAACACAAATCAGCGCCATTAAGACAAGCTGGTGGCAGAGGATTAGCCAATTGCAACATTGTGCCAGCTCCAACAAATATTTTAAAGTATTTTGTGCAGTACCTTATTTTCTGACAAAGATTTAGCCATTATCATTCAGAAGATGCAAAATATTTTATTGGAGAACCTCCTATCACATCAAGTTTAAGTGTTTGATATGACATGTTAGACTGTTAGGCTGTTTCTGTCTTTAGTCATTCCTCAAAAAGTTATGTATTTATTTGATAAAAGTTATTTTACCCTTATCTTTGCATAGTAAGTTCATTTTTAAACTCTTCCCTGGATTACAAATTAATTATCTTCAATAAGAAGAAATTATCTGAATTTTTGTAAAGCGATCGTCTCTATTCTTTCAATCCTGGATACAATTTATATTTCAGAAAACTATGATAGCTTACCACTCATTCACTTGAATAAGACAATGTCCACAATACGCATTCGCCTACTTGAAAAATAAAATGCAAAACTGATTTCTGTTCTTGTACTGAGCAGCTATTCACAGAAAGCCCCAGGCTAGGCAGAGTTCTTTCTGCACCACCTAAGCTGAAGGCTGATGCTCAGTGTTAGGATCATCCTCCTTTCATTGGGTGCTCCCGCGCTTGTTCTTGCTCAGACTGCATGTGGTGTAAAAGTAGTCATCACCAATTAAATGGATACTTAAGAATAAAATTTTTAACATGTTTCTGGTGCTACTGCATGTTTAATATGCATTTAATATTAATATTTAATTGTTGAATAGGTTTAATATATATCATTGCTTTAGAAATATTCCTAAGAGGTAAACTAGTATTTTTTTTCCCAGCCTTTCGTCAGAACACTCACGGTATCCAGATGACATCCATCAAGAAACGAAGATCCCCGGATGATGAGCTCTTGTACTTACCAGTGAGTCTCCTTTGGGTGCTCATTATTTTACTTCATTGTAATGATATTTGTGGGAGTTTTTCGATACAGATATCCTCCAGTTACCTTTGGAAATGGCAAAAAAGGTGTCTTAGCATCATTTTTTTTTAATGTCCTAAACTTCTGGAGGCTACAAGAACTCCCTGCAAAGGGCCAACCTGGTGGGGTGCTGATGAGGCCTTTTACCCATTTGTAAATTTCTACTTTTTCCTGTATCTTCAGCTGGCAGATGTAAGACTGAAGAGTTCAGTAGGGTCCACTTCATAAGGACCCAAATGCCATTGACAAACACAGCACCCTTATAACCTAAATTACCATCCAAACACCTCACAAAGTTAATCCCATCATGTCTGAAGTTGGGATTTCAATATACACATTTTGAAGGGAGTTTAAAGCATTTAGTAATAATGGCAGAATGGTGGGAGGGAAGCAGGTTAGTAAGATGAAGTAAGTGTGATTTATTACTATTATTATTATTATTACTACTATTATTTAAAGCAGGAGGGTCAGGCATTTGGTCTGGTAGCTAGGGTATCTCATACCATTCTTATATCCTGTATTGCAGTGTGTAAGTTTACAGCACCACACCTGATTCTAGCTGTCTGCTACCCACACTCTGGAAGGAAGCAGGTGCTCTCTGCACCCATTCCCAGACGATGGCTTTGGCCTGAGCTATCCCTGTCCATTATGGACATTTGGGAACTGAAGCAACAGATGGGGGTTGTCTGTGCTTAAGCCTCACCCCCTCTCTGATTCTCTGTCAAATAAATAAATAATACGGAAATGTTATATCTTTCCATAATTTAGAATGTAGTAATAGAATGAGTTCCTTTTCTTACCTATCCACCCAATCAGAGCTATCTTCACAACAGAATATTTTTTATTTATGTCTAAATTTAATATACACTTCATTATTTCATGATAAAATTATCCTGGAAAGTATGGTCTAAATATTGTCAGAAAGATTATAAAAAGCTAATAACACAGCAGTTCTAGAAAGTTTGTTTTGATTTTTTTAAGAAGTTTTATGAAAAATACCTCAACAAGGCACGGTCCTCAGTAGTATGTGCATAGCTGGAAGCTTCAGTCCTATTGTTATGTAATAGATTATTCACTTCCACAGGGAACATTGAACCTCTCTAAATCAGAAGTTAGGCTACACTATTAGACTATGCTTCCAGTTGGTCGAATTCTTGCTACATTAGTTCTTTGTTGTCTAGAGTGACAATAGATTTTTGGTGGACCGAATAGTCCTTAATGCAATGTAAACTAAGGCAAGCAGGATGAAAACAATCTAAAACTATCACCCTGGGATTGAAGTTGAAGCAACTCAACAGGTTTGGGTGTGTCACAGCTTTTGTCACATGTTCTTTGGGCTGCAGTGCTTAAGGAAATAGACTGCTGGTTGGCCAACTGTACAGTGACTTACCTGGAATTGTCCATGTGTTGTTTGTAAAGCTGAATACAGAAACTCACTAGAGTTTTCAGCAAAATATTACACTTGATGTACTAATGTCTCCGAAGATATAATATGCTTTCAGATGCTGAGATAAATACCTAAAAAAAATCCAAAATCATTTATTTATTTATTTACTTACTTACTTGAGAAATACACAGTCGGGTGGAGGGGAGGCAGAGAGGAAGATAAAAGAGAGAGAGGAAGACATAGAGAAGGAAGGAATGGAGAGAGGGAGAAGGAAGAGAGATCCCGACTCTTGGTCCATTCTGCGAACACATTCAATGGCTGGGGGTTAAGTCAGAAGCTCGAAATTCTGTCCATGTCCCAACATGAGTGAAAAAGACTCAGTTACTTGAGCCATTATCATTTGATTTCTATGGTGAATATTTTCTGGAAACTTAATTGAGGAGGCAGAGTTCGTAATTTAACCCAGGAATTCTGATATGGGATACACATATTTCAACCGATGCATTAGATTAAACGTATGTATTAGTCTGGACTTGTCCCTGAAAAAGCTATGTTCAATCAAATTTCAGTCTGTACTCTTGGAAGCAGCACCATGTAATGATTTGTATCTTAAGTGAAAAACTAGCAAAATCAACGTATGTGAAAAATTACTAACTTAGTATATATTTTGTTGGTATTTGATAATACCAGATGGGCTGGACCTTAGGCATTTAGCAATTTGTAGGACATAGTTCTGCTTTTAAAGAGGTTGCCTTCTACTGAGGACTCAGGCAGCTACAACATGATGAAGTAACTGCTGGGCGTGGAATGCAGAAGACACAAGGAAAACCAGATACAGACCAAATGTGTACAGTTTAGGGAGGCTTCATAGAGAAGGTCCCCCCCGAGGCTTGGATGTGGAGAAGATAATCCAAACAAATTAAGACAATCTTTTCATTTCTGAATTTTTACATGTTATGCTTCTTTCCTCAGGCTGGGATAGAAGTGAGATGAGTAAGATGCCACAGTGCATACTGTGAAGGGGCTTTCAGTCAGCACTCTGCAGGGACATTGCTTGCCTGTGGTCCTAATTGTGCTTTTTAAAACTTTTGCCAGGCTGAACACTTTTGTCCTTCCATGGATAGAAGTAAATTATGCTCAGTTTTCATGGTAGCTTTGTTTTCATCAATGCTCCTACAGACAGCAGAAATTTACAATTCTATGGCCCTCTGACCTCAACGCTTTTGTTATAAGACATATGCATGACCTTTTTTGCGTGTTTACTGGAATACGTTTTCTTATTTGATATATAATATTGACTTAATAGCATGGAATTCACAGCCAACAGCACTGGGGATAGACCATGCCTAGACAATGCTCATCATACACATCTATTTTCTCCACAAGGCATTCTTTCTTGTACATAAGTGTACTAAACAGCATGATGGCATTACCTTAAAGGCTGTTATAAACAGCAAGATCACCAACAAGAAGCAGAAAAATGTGGAAAATTCAAAGCTAAATAGAGCTCACAAAAGAACCTTGCTTAAACTGTAAGGGCATCTCCTTGTTGCCCTCAGCTTGAATATGTTCAGGTGATTCTAGCTTTAGTTTACACTCTGCAGGTCTCTGAATGATCACAAAAGTACCAGTCCTGATTTCTGATGTCACAAATGAGTGTTAGTGAGTAGCAGGTTTTGCAAAGCCCAAGTCCATACATCATGAAGATTGCACTCCAGCTCTTTATTTTGCCTCTTTGCATTTACCCTCTTACACAGGTGAGGGGCCGCGAGACTTATGAGATGCTGTTGAAGATCAAGGAGTCCCTGGAACTCATGCAATACCTTCCTCAGCACACGATTGAAACCTACAGACAACAACAGCAGCAGCAGCACCAGCACTTACTTCAGAAACAGTGAGTGTGTCCACATGTCCTGAGGGAGCATGAGCAAGACTGATGCTTTCCTATTAGTGGTTCGGAGCTAGATGGGTAACAGGGAAGATGACACTATGAAATGGCTGATTGCATTAGCTTGACATTACTTGGTATGGCTTTCAGTTTTAGTTTCAACTTTCCTGTGTTCTGATAATGACTCCAGACTAGTGAATCACCGAGAATTCGGTCTGTTTCTGATCCGTACATATCTACCAATGAACGAATTCCCAGGATACAGTATATGTATATTTAAATGTATATTACAGATTATGTATATTTAAAAATGTAGAATCTTCCCTCATCCTAGTGGATTGCCTCATGCATCTCCTAGGACACACAAGGTCCATGTCTGGGAATAATTCTGTAGAATTAGAGCAAATGGGTTTTACTACAGGATTTCTTATATGAGTGCTGTGTTGAGAAAGATTCTAAAACCTAGTGCATGCTTACTGGAAATGTCTTGGTGTGAGAGGACAAAACAGTACTATACTGTGATTTAGAATCCTTGCTCTATAGTATGTTTTAGCACACATTTATGCATGAATCTGGCAAACATATTAGCATTACACACAGCCCAACTGCTTTTGCCTGTTATTTGAAAGACAGAATTACAAAGAGGGAGAGACAGAGATGAGAAGAGAAAGATCTTTCATCTGTTGATTCAGTGCCCAAATGGCTGTAACAGCCAAGGTAGACTGAAGCCAGGAACCAGGCACGTCATCCAGTTCTCCCACATGCATGGCAGGGCCCAGACACTTGGACCATCTGCTGCTGCTGCTACTTTTCCCAGCACATTAGCAGAAAGTTGGATTGGAAATGGAGCAGCCAGGACATGAATCAGTGCCTGTGTAGGATACCCCATTGTAGGTAGTGGTTTTACCAGCTGTGCCACAAAGCTGGTCACCTAAACAACTAATTCGTATGTTAGATTTTACATTGAATATTGAATCTTTAATAATGCCAATTGTTTCATGACTAATAAGAAGAGTAGATTTTATAAATCCATAAGAATTTGGCTAATCAGAACTCTGCTTATACTTAACTTTCAATGGTTAACAATAATCATTTGCTAATTGAATTAAGATTTTTTCATATATGTAAGAAGAATTGCCAGTCTTTGCAGATAAATATAAAGTATATACTTTTTAGGATCTACCTAATACAGTCCCCCTTACAGAAAAAAAGAAACGAAGCCTTACCTTCCTCTAAGTTTAAGCAAATTAATAATAAAATAAAATAAAAATGAAGAAGTTAAAAAATAAGACATTTATCTTTCCTGAAACAAAGAGTACCTTTTAAAATAAATTCATACAAGCAATACAATAATACTCTTTCCCAATATGTTATTAGCCACTGTAAAGAGACAGCTATAGAGAGTGTAATAAACAGGGATCCTACTTCTTTTATTAACCCACAAAAGTCAATGTGGACTAGAATGCCTCTCAGATAGTCAGGAGGTATTGGATAGCATCTATTGGCTGTGGGCTGAAGTGGGCAGCAAAGAAAGAGAAAAGAAGCATGTTCTCTCTTCAAAGAACTTTTAGTTGTTAGGTGTTTAAGACCCTTTTGGCTGGAAAGAATCTCACCATTTACTGTTTAGCATGAAAGCTTTGCAAATTGAAATTACAGGGGATTTTTACCTAAGGCTTTGCAGAAAGTTTAATCAGCCGATTCCTTGGGGACACAAAGTGTTCTAACAGAATTAGAACTCAGGGTTGCAGGCAGAATTCCTAGTGCTGATCACATGGATTTGCTGTGAAATCATATGGAAATGCACGTTAATATATTCAAATACAGATTCGATTTAGTTCTCGTATAAGTCATACAAGGATCAAAGAAATGAAGACATGAAATCATTTATAGACTTAAGGGAAAGAACTGCCTTTCCCAAGATTTGGTGGTTCATAAAATACTCCAAATTGCTTCCAGTTCACTCTGGTGAAGTTTAACTGGTTGAAAAGTCCCCAGGAGAATCACACAGTGAAGCACTATGCTGAACTGGCTGATCTGCTCTTCTGTCGCCTGTTTATTTTGTTGTTGTTGTTGTTTTTCTAGTTTACAGGAAAAGTTTGACTATTTAGCACAAAGATAGGTCAGCTTCTGTTTCTTGTAAAATATTGGTCGTAGGCACTTCAGACTTTCTGTGCCCTCTTGCAACTATTCATCCCATGATTCCAGCACAAAAAACAGATACCTGGAATACATAAGTGTGAAGTGGGAAAGGTTATTGCAATAAAATCTTAACTTGTGGACCCTGAAATTGAACTTCGTATGTTTTTTTCTTAGATTCTGTGAAACACTGTTTTCCTTTTGATTCTCACTACTGCATTTTTATGCTCAAAAACATTGTCAATCTATGAGCCCAGTCTGGCTTCATCACTGCCATTTATACCAATCACTATAGTCCGTAGATGAGTGGTTCTTCTTTAGTTGGTTCTTGAGACTCAGATGTTATTTGGTAGTTACAAGCTAATATATATATCCAAAATATGGAGGTATTAACATGACTTTAGAATGTCTTAAGCAACATTCCATTGTTTAACAAGCACTGTAACAATTTTTAACAGAGATCTCTTTCTTCTTAGAAAGTGAGGTATGTCCATGTAGGAATGGAATATGGCTAATGATGCAGCCCCTTTATCAGATAAGACCAAATAGTTGACTCATTTAACAGTTATTCATCAAAGATCTGCCATGCGTTAGCATTAGTATTAAGGAAAAAGAAGATGGTGTTCCTATCTTTCTTTATCTGGCAGCACAATGGGTAATTCGTAATTAAAATATGCTTTGAATATTAATGAAGGTCCAGAAATTCAGTCTCAAAGTTGTAAAAATTAGTAGCAAACGTTTAAGTAACATCCATGGATCACACAAGAAAGGGAATAGTTTGGTACAGTGGTTTTAGAGTTTGTAATCCACATGGATAGACCTCCAGTAGAGCCAAATGCTATCTGTGCTTGCTGGAGTGAGGCACATGCAAATGCGTAATCCTTTGTTCCTACATGGTGAGTGACACTGGGCTTCCCGTCTCGCTGGTTAGCATCGCTCTCAATAAAGTTTACTTATTACCCATGTGCCTTATAATAATTTATTTCATCTGAAAAGACTCTTTTATTTAAAATTGAGTTTGTTAAACAGACCATAAGACTTTAGGGACACATTTTCATTTGGTTTTTGTTTGTTTGCATGTGTGGCCATAGAAAAACAATGAAAAATGAGAAACTATATTGATTTTTGGTGTGATCCATTAAAAGTAACATATGCATGATTTTGAGTTATATCTCACATCTCTGGTAACTTGTGCATGAAAATCTAACAGACTGTAAAGTGAACGTTTGAGAAAATATACACATTTTGTCTAATTATGCTTTTACAACATCACACATATATGGACCTCCTATGAATGATATCCATCAATGTAAATCCTGACATTTTTCTGCTGAGATTTTTTCAATTCTTTTGTTTTCATGTTAATACGAAGAAAAAGCTGCAATGATCAGAAAAAATGGAAATATAATTTTCTGGCAATCATTTCTTGGGAAATGCTGCGAATAGCCTTCAAGATCATACTGCCGATTTTATACTGTTCAGGAATCAATTTCGTTTATAGTAAAAGGAAAATTAGTGTGAGGGTGACAAATATTTTCTGCTTAACTATTTTGTCAGTTTTATGCTGTATTTTTTTTTCTCTGCTAACTTTTTATTTGTGCATGGTTTTCTTTTTAAAAAAATCTTTCAAAATTACCTTCATGATCATAAGCTTTTGTGAATGTTAGATTTCTTGTTAATCAAATTGTCACAAATATAAATAGTCTCTGCATTCTTTTTGAAAGACATTTGATTTTAGTTGATTTGCTCATATGGGTGTAAATATGTAAAGTTAGGTTTACATAAGGCAGCATTTGCGTTGAAAAAATTGGACTCCTTTTTGTACTAGATGGCTTGCCTTTATGTGTTCAAGGGATATTGATTCTTCAGACAGTTTTAGAAAACCGACTTAACACATATTTTGCAGTATTGGAATTTCTATATTTCAAAGCAGATTCATCCTTTTTTTCCACTTTTTTTTTTTTTTACTTCATCATTTATCTTGCCTGGTATCCTGATTTCAAGCCTACATCACTTTGTTACAAAATTGCATTGCTATTTCTCAGGAAAATTATTTTTATTTATGTATTTATTTATTTTAGCTTCTATAGGGCAAATTTTTAATTTGAATGCAAGTGTCTATCCTGTGCCTGTAGTGCATTTCTGTATGATTTGACCATTGTGTTTCAGTAGCAACACAAGTCAAGCAATAATGCTACAAAACTGAGTCCAGAAGGCTCTGCAGTCTCTCCCACTATATCTTGGCAAACTGACACCCAGAGACTATACTGGTGATTTCATATACAGTTTACAGTAATGTTACAAAATCAGATTGGAACATAGAGGATTTACATTGCAGTCTCTGGTCTGCTTAACTGGTTAAGCAAATTTTCATAAAATAGGCTGGCACATTAGCTCAACTGCCTAATTCTCTACCTCCAAATGCCAGAATCCCATATGGGCACTGGTTCATGTCCCAGCTGCTCCCCTTCCAATCCAGTTCCCTGCTTACAGCCTGGGAAAGCAGTGAAGGATGGTCCGAAACTTTGGGACCCCACACCCATATGGGAGATCTGGAAAAAGCTCTTGGCTTCTGGCTTCAGATCAGCTCAGCTCTGGCCATTGTAATCATATGGGGAGTGAGCCAGAGCATGGTGGATCTTTCTGTCTTTCCATCTCTTGGTAAAACTGCCTTTCTAGTAAGAATACATTTAAATTATTTTTTAAAGTTTAATGAAAGTAAAGCACAAACTACACATGTATTTCAAAAAATTCCTGGGAAAAGCAATTAAAAGATTAAATTTTTGGTTAAAAAAATTCTTTGGAAGTCTCTGCAAATAAGGAGTTTCCACAAGATTTGGGGAAAATGCATATAATGAAAAACTCTGTGT